GTACAATGATAAGTTCTTCATTTCTAATTTAATCAAAAAAGTTATCATGATGGTAGGGCCTTCAAACATCATTCAAGTCAACACTGATAATGCACCAATTTGTAGAGCTACAGGTCTACTTGTAAAGCAAGTTTATCCTCATATTTTCTGGACACCGTGTGTTGTGCATACGCTTAATCTTATCTTGAAGAACATTTATGCCGCTAAGAATATCGAGTCAAATGAAATCACCTACAATGAATGCCATTGATCACAGTGATTGCTGGAGATACAGTTATAATTAGGAATTTTATTATGAATCACTCCATAAGACTCTATGTTTAATGATTTCTCTAGTTTGAATATGCTTGCAGTTGCTGAAACTCGGTTTGCCTCAGTTATAGTGATGTTAAGAAGATTCAAAAAAATGAAAAATGTTCTTTAAGCTATGGTGATCAGTGGCAAATGATCCTGTTATAGGGAAGATGATGTTAAAAGACTAGGTATGTAAAGGAGAAGCTTTTAGATGATTTATGGTGGGATGAGATTGAATACATCATAAATTTCACATATCCAATTTATGAGATGTTGAGAATAGCTGATACGGATAAGTCTTGTTTACATCTCATTTATAAGATCTGGCATTCAATGCTAGTCAAAGTAAAATAAATTATATATATACATGAGAGGAAGGCACTTCATGAAAACTCAAGCTTCTGGAATATTATTGATGTTATTCTAGAAGACAGGTGGAGCAAAAGTAATACACATTTATATTGCTTGGCTTACTAAATCCTAGGTAAATTTCAACATTTTTTCATTATTTCATTTTAATGTTATTTGAAGATATTCAACTAAAGAATGACTTCAAGAAGATCCTCAAAGAGTTTCTTCACAAAAAATTTTAAAAATTTCAAATATGAGAAAGACATTTTTGAAGCATTATTTTCCAAATGAGGAGAGAAGAAGTGTCAATATTGAGTTTGCTAAATTTTTTTATTATTTAGAGGACTTTGATGACCAAGAGGCATTGTGTGATAGGTGGAGAGTTGATCCGAAAATATGGTGGATTATACATGGAGCTTCAGCACTTCTACTTCAAACAATCGCCATAAAATTGCTTAGCCAAGTTTCTTCCTCATCTTGTTCTGAAAGAAATTGGAGCACATACTCATTCATCCAATCAATGAAGAGAAATAAAATCACTTCATACCGGGCTAAAGATTTAGTTTATGTGCATACAAACCTTTAGCTTCTCTCAAGGAAAACTCCAACTTATATGGAAGAAGACAACAGGATTTGGGATGTTGCTGGAGATGTATTTGAATCTCTTGAGGATATGGGAATATTAGAAATTGCTAATCTTTTAATTGATGAGCTTGAATTGGAAGCTATGATATTTATTGAAGATGATATAGAAATTCAAAGATAGTTAAAATTTCATGTGGACATTTTTTTTTTTTGTTGCACTAGACATTTAAATATTTAATGCTTACTTTTATTTTGATATTACAAGATATAATGCTACAAATAATGTAGCTTTTTTTTTTGTCATTTCAAATATTACACTTTGATTACTTTCTTAATTTTTATATATGATTTATATATTATAATGTCGTATCTGCGTCGTATCTGATCCTGTATTTTTAAGAATTTGCGTGTCCCATATTTGTATCGTGTTGTATATGCGTCATCGTATCCATATCGGTGCAACATAGACGAAGGGTCAATAGAAACAACTAAAAAAGTCACTGGAGAGAAAGCTAGAAACAAAAATGGAAAATAAGGAAAACATAAAATGACAACTCTTGACTGCATCAATTCTCCCCTACTAGAAGAATCGCATCTCCTGATGAGAAAGCTTCAGTAACGCGCTGGTAGATATTAGGACAAAGAATCTGCAACTTCTTAGCTTTCAACCCAAGAATAATCAGACAAAGGATGTCCCCTCCATTTAGCCAACCAAGAATATGCAACTTCACACGACAACCTAAAGCTCTGATATCAAATTGATGCAACCTAAAAATATTCTTGATTCTAGGAATGAAAATAAAAACACACTTCCTTTCTAAATAAAGCAGTATTAACACCACTTATAACTTATTCAAATGAAGATGAAGATTCGAAAGATTGTTTTGCACAAAAGTGTTGATCTTATTACAAATGAAGATAAACCAACTGATGATTCTGTTGAAGATATTGTGGACATTCATACTATCTAGATAAGACAATGTGTGGACCGACAATTCTTGGTTAAATGGAGGGGACATCCTTTGTCTGATTATTTTTGGTTTGAAGCTAACGAGTTATAGATTCTTCATCCTAATATCTACCAGCGCGTTATTGAAGCTTTCTCATCAGGAGATGAGATTCTTCCACTATGGGAGAATTGATGCATTCAAGAGTTGTCATTTTATGTTTTCCTTATTTTCTATTTATGTTTCTACCTTTCTTTCTCCAGTGACTTCTCAGTCTATTATGTTGACCCTTCCTTTTTCCTATTGGCCCCTCGGTTTTCTAGCTATCTCTCAGTTTTCCTGTTATCCACTCATTTTCTCTGTTGTCTTCTCATATATCTGCTGCTATTTGATCTTCCTAAGTGTTGTAAGTATTGTTTGATATTTCCTAAGTGTTGTAAGTATTGTTTGATATTTCCTAAGTGTTGTTTCATCTTCCTTAAGTGATGTTTGGTCTTCCCTAAGGGTTGCTAACTTTCCCTATACTGGCTATTTTTCCCCATGCTGCTATCCTGCTATTGTCTGCTTGTTTTCCTTGCTGTGGCTGTTCGGTTTCCTCTTTGTTGATTTCTTTGCAAGAGGCTTTACATGTGGACTTTTTTTGTGGATTTTATTGGTTGTTTTGGGAGCACAATTATGTGATTTATTAAATGTTATTCTCACTTATTTCTCCTATAAATTGGTGATGATTTTCTTTGTAAAAGAGAGACTTTGAAGAATTTTTTAAATATGATCATTCAAAACATGCGGGTTTGTCATAGCTTGCAAGCTATCTTCTTCTCCCTATCCTCCTTATATTTTGTCTCGGACTTCTATCTATTCTTCTCTCCACGGTTCCCATTCCATATGTATCTTTCTTCTCTAAAACTATTGTAAGTTTTAAGTTGTGTTATGTCTTGTTCTATTATAAATTATAAGTGTTAGAATTGTTTTATTGTTTTGTTTGTTTGTGTTATGTAAGATTTATGCAAATGAAAAAAAAAAGTGTGTTTTTATTTACATTCCTAGAGCAAAGTTTGTTTTTAAGTTGCATTAATTGTGATATGGATCATGATATTAATATGAATAATATGGTCGTTGATTTTTATTATGGGTGTCAAAATCATTATAATAATTATACATATAGTATTTTTATCATAAGATAAACCCACATAAGTGGATGAAAGCATAAATAAATAGGATGACAATATTAAGATGATTTTATAAGACAAATATGTGAGAAAATTAGCTAAAGGGTAGGAGATGGACATTGTGGCTCAAGGTTTTATTGCATTGATCATACATTACTATCTCTTGCAAACTTCCTCTATTTATAAAAAGGATTTTATATGTGATGAAATAACAAAAGAAAAGTAATTTAAGTGCAATCAAATAAACTAGTTCAGAATATTTCATAAAAAATGATTCTGTTATACAAAAATCTCTAGATAAGGAAATATTTCTTATAATTTTATTAGATGAATAATCCTAATATGATAAGTATTAACATGTCCAATAAGACAAGTGACGACTTGTTAGATGGCTGTGTCCTGCATAAAAGAGTGAAAAAGATAAGACTGTCGTATGCTATGTGGGTACATTTGAGGAGCATATAGTAAAAAGTCAAAATATATATCTTATTTAGATCTATGCGTTTGTCATCACTTTTGCATTATTCTTGTATCTTTACAAGATAATTTGAAGATTTTCTTACTTATTTGGCCTCGAGTGATTTGGGGCTTCTTTTTGTCATGAGACTATGGAAGATTGTTATATTGTTCACTATTTATTTTTACAAATGTTATTTCATGATGGAGGATCAATTCCTTTCTCCTCACTATGGATGTAGGAAATTATTTTGGTAGGACCACATAAATCTTAGTGCCTTTTATGGTGCCTAGTCACTTTGTTGTTATTCTTGATAGGCATTTCCTAAGAAAATGGTAAGATTTTTCCTAACATGCATTTGATTTTAAAGAATAAAGTAGTTAATCATCCCTACTTAAAATACAATACTTCTGAAAGCTAACAAAAAGAAAACTTTTTTCTTTTTTGAAGGATGACTAACCTCTTCGGACTAGCTTCATCAATGAACACCCTAAATCCATATGCAGTTGAAAACATACAAAAGATCAAAAGTTATTAAAAAAAGATTGAAACTAGTTGAGTATATAAATAAGTAGATTGGACTAATAGGAGTGATACCTACATGTAAAAAACTATTTATTTTTTACAACACTAAGATTAATTTCAGCAAGTTGCAATATGAGGATAAACACACTTGGGAATATTACCAGTTTAACATTGAATGAAAAGAAGCATCGCTACCTAAAGATGATCAGCCTCATACTTGATAGGAATTGAACCAGATCTTCTATCAATTTTAACCCTTGTATTAGTTGGGCATCTCTCTTTACAAAATCTAAGCTTTCATTTTAGTTACTGCCACAAGTTTTAGACAAGAAAACCATATAGAAGATCATGCTAATATATTATGAGTTCATTAAACAATGTAATATAAATCAAGCATGAAAATAATCAATAAATAACTAGAAAACTACTTTTGACAGCTAATTTTAGAAGCAAATGCAAGATCAACAAATTCTCTCCAAGCAATAAAAAATAATTGGGGAAACTCATAGAGAGTGATGGTTGAGCCCATAACCAGCAAAAGGTTTTCTTAATCATCACCATCATCAAAATATCATCTATCATTCTAAATTATTGAACTTCATAAATACTTTGTTGGACCCAAAGTCATAAAGAAAGCAAGTGATAGACTATAAGAAGGTTGATCAAACATACCATTTTTATCCACTTGATATCAAGCCATGTTGCTAAGAGCCTTAGAGCAATCCGATGCCGGGCATCATATCCCTTCCTCCGCACTGAAGCTTTCTCATAGTCTTGAGGTGAATCAGCCACGCATGCAGACAATAGCTCGAATAAAATTGTAACTTTCCTAGGATAATTAACTGAATTATCAGCCAGCCTAGACCCTCTATCATTGGCATTGTTATACCGTTTGATTGCCTCCTCTCTTATGGCTGATAGCTTAGAGCTAGCAAGTTCTGAAGATTCAAAAGACTCATCAGATCTCACCGTCGTTGTCCTTTCTGAAGGATGAACAGTTTGCAAACTCATTACCATGGCATCAATAGACTTAGCCAAAGCAAGTTCTTGTTCACTCTTCTCCAAAGATCTTCCATTGTCTTCTTCAACCATTATCTTTAGATACTAAACAGCAATGAAGAATTGGTACCTTAATAATGATTTACAAATATTGGTACAATGATAGAACATGAAGTTAGTCAAGTAAAGATTGAATAAACACATTCTGGTTAACCTATCCAATATAAGGACAATAAAGCAAAATGAGATAGGATGATTCTCCAGTTTTACCCTCTCTTCGTGATAACAGCTTACAATAATACGTAGAAACATAGTCTACTACCAAATTTCAATGGACTAAGAGTTGAACTTTCAGGTATATTGAAATCATTAGCAAAAAAAGGAAAATTTTTTAAGTCACGCCTCAAAAAATCAACTAAGCCATAAAGTGATACAAAAGGATAGGTGAATGATAGAGAGCTGGGATAGCTATATTAAAAGAAAAATTAAATAAGAAGTTCTAAGCAAGAGTTTGCAAAACCTTGAGCTCTTAAGAGGATGTACAATAGCTAAAAGGGAACCAACAGGATTCTGTGACTTGCAATTGAGAATTAATAAGATCAATAGACCAATTTCAGAAGCAATACATTAACATAATTTAAGCTTCTTCAAGTCCTTATCAAGTATAATGTTCCCTTTCAGAAAAAATAGACCTTCCTAGCAGAAGAAGTGCTCATTTTGATTCCAATGGCCCAAGTCAAATAGCATGCTTTTAATAGAATTAATTAATGATTAATCAAGACTGCATTTGTCTTACAGCTAAAAAATTATTAGTCTACGCAGAAAAGCACAGTTTTTTTTATTTTTTTTTATTTTTTTTTTGGCCGACAGGAGAAAAGCACAGTTGAATGAGCCCTCCTAACATAAAAGGGTTTCTCACTCAAATTCACTGAAGTTTTAATCACTCCAATTCAGCCAAAGACTGATCACCAATTTCCTCAAAACTATACATCATCGAACGAATTTCTTACTTGGTACATTTCATTGTTAAAAAAATTAACAAAAAGATACGGGATAAAGAGACCACACCGCCCAGAAATGATGCTTTGCATCGGAATACGAAGCGGTCTCCTCCAACCCCGGCCACGCCTTCGAATCGATCTCCAGAAACCTAAAAAAAAAGGACATCAGTAAGTTGGAAGACTAGACGGCGGTAGAATAGATGAGCAAGAGGGAGAAAGAAAGACCTAAACACCGGACGAAGGAGGCCACGGGATGGATGGGTCCAGAGCTGCGGTGAATCGCTGTCGGTGTCACTGCTGCTAAAGTTGCTACTGTTACTTGAACTGCTGGAACGGTCGGGGACGGCGGCATCGGCCTCTTCATCGACGGGAAAGGAGGAGCCGAGGAGATGTGTTTGATGAATCTGCGCTTGGCGGAGGGCAAGGCCGAAGAGCGCGCCCGCTGCATACCTCTGCGTCGGAGTCAGCGTCGAGGTTGTCATGGTCAAGGCCGGCGCGACGGCCCAAGGTGTGGCACTGGCATTTATTTCGTCGAACACGCTTCGATTTGGCGGTTTTCCTATTTCTTCCGCAGGCGTTTGGTTTAAAGGGGCATTAATAGTTGCATTAATAACAAAAAAATATTTATGAATCAAATATTTAACATAAAACTTTTTATATTACCTTATGTTAGACTTGAAATTTTAAATTTATCAAAACTATTTTTAAAATTAAATTATATAAATTAAAATAAACATTTTTATGCATGGAGGAGATTTAGGCTTTGTTTGGGATGACTTTCTTCTTGTTTCTTAAAATAATTTTTAGCATAAAATTTTTTATTTTTTATAAAAAATCTATTTTAAGAAGCATCAAGAAAAGCCGTCCCAAACGGACAAAATTGATATGTACCTAAATATAAAAATTTAGTTCTTTGATATGTAAATAAATAAAAATTTTATGGTATGTATGTAATTATCCCTCTTTAAAAATATATGTATTCTAAAAAAATAATAGTAATTGAACAATTTTCATCTTAAAAATGTCAAAATTATTAAGAAATGTAATTTCATGTGCCTTATAATAATTATATTTGATCAAATACATACGTTAAGTTTTTATTTGGAAAAATAAGATTGAAATTTCATTTCATACGGGAATGCTCTTATTGAAATATGGTGAATGGCTAAGAAAGAAAGCTACTCGAAATTTTCTCTTCCAAAAGACCTTATTTGCCTTCAACGACCCTAAAATGCTTCACTACATATCCTTTTCGACAACTCTTCATCGCAAGAAAAATTATTAGGTCAAGTGACCTGATGTAGCTCTACGTCCGGTAGCTAATAATATGTCGCTACGTGCTCTTATTCTTTACCGCGCGGCCCGACGACCCGACTCGGACCGGAATCCGGGATTACTATGTTCGCGTATTGCTCGGTATTGCTAGGTATTGCTTGGCAATAACGAGAAATACCGCTCTATGAAGACCAATACGGAGCAATACCGAGTAATACCTAAAAGAACTCGGTATTTCTCGGTATTGCTCAGTATTGCTCGGTACTGCTAGATATTGGTCTTCACATAATTGTATTTTTAATTTTTGTCGAGCAAAATCAACAAATACCTAACAATACCTAGCAATACCGAGCAATACGCAAACTCCCGCGTCCGTTCCGGGTTGGGTTGTCGGGCCGCGCGGTAAATAGTGAGAACACTTGGCGCCTGTTTACTGCTCACCGAATGTAGAGCTAAGTTAGGTTACCGGACCAAATAAAAACTCTCATCGCAAGCCCTTTATTAACATTATGTTCAAGGTTAGTGTTAATCTCTTTTTTTCAATGTTTATATAATGATGCATTCACCATCACTTCCAACGTCATTAGTAAGCTAGGTTTTAACCATTCTATGCAAAACTATATTTTAACCGCTTTCGAAAAATAGATTTGAATTAGGCCCAAATAAGATTTGAAAATAGTTCTAATTTGAAATAGGAAGTTCAAATTACATTCAAATCTTATTGAAATATTGTTCAAACTTTAATCAAACATAAAGAAAATTTTGTTTGTATAATGTTTTTTTGGCATCCAAGTATTTGGCATGTAAGTTATTATTAAGTATTAAAATATTATTATATATTATCAATCTTTTATAAGTTGGCATTTTTCCACCCATGACCAATAATTCTTTATTTTAACATATATTAAGCTTGATATTTGCATCAACCATTAAAAATTGAGCATATATCATTCTTGAAATAAGCATATGTTGATACACCTATGTTAACTAGATATGTTAGGAGCTTGAAGAACTGCATACCGGGAAAGCACCACCGTGATGCTAAGCTCTTTGGATTTTTTAAAATAATTCAGCGTAGCGGCGCTAAGGTGGCACTGCGATGCAAGGTCATGGGAGCATTTTGACGTAGGGTCATGAGAGCATTGCGGTGCTGGGCAACGAAAAATATTTTTTAATATAATTTCTCCACTCAGTCATTCCCCTCCCCTTCATTTCTTGCATGGTCAGGTAAGAGAAGGGGAGAGAAAAGCTGCTTCATGCATTTCTATCAATTGCTCCAGTTACAAAAATTCTTTTGATCATGATAGGTAACCCGAATCTAACTACTATTTTTCAATAATTTTGATTTCTTTAATTTTATCTCTCTCAAAAATTATTAAAATGCAATATCTATCATTTTAATAATTTTTTATCACATAACTTTTGATATGTGATAGATACCTCCCTCCTTGAGTATTTTGAATGGTTAATATTAAAAGTTCACCAAATGATTTTGGTTATGTGCTATTTTAATTGAAATTGGTAGTATAATGCTAATTGTGAAATGATCAAAAAGTAGTGTACTGCATTTAGATATGAAATATATGCATCCATTTACCATTCATTGATGTCAACATGTATTTGTTGGCTTAGTCTACAGACATACTGGTGAGTATATTGATTTATGTATTAAGTGTATATCGTAGTTGTTATTATTCTTCATATGATGTGATATGTATGAAAAAGGTTAAGAAAGACTGACTATAAATGGTTGACTGATTCAGGTTGCTTGGAGACATATTATCATGTACAAAAGGGAGGGCCGAAGAGCTTTCCTTAGAATGAAAAGTTTGTGGTGAATCCTAATGGTATAAAAAGGAAGCCATAAGAAGATTGATTGATAATTGGGTAGTTTGCATTGGATAAGATACATGATATGCATACATAATATAGATTTTGTACGACATGCATATGATAATAACATGAGTACATATTACTTAAGCTGGTATATTAACTATCGGAACTAAACTATTTGGTAACTGACATGTATAGAAATGATAGAACCTATTGAGGTGTTTATATTGTTACTCATCACTACTCATGAGATATACAATTATACATATTATTATTTCTCATCTAACCTGATATTGCTCACAGTGACTAATACATGATTTTATAGTTATATATTTATATTAATATTGATTGAATGATTAAATGCATATTGTTTATAATTTTTTTTATTAACTTCTACGATAAGTTCTGATAACCTACTGAGATGTTATCTTACGTACTCTGTCACTGTTATTGATTTCACATTAGGAAAGAGGTTAAGATCCAATAGAGAGAGGCTGATTGGGATTCAGATTTTTTCTTTTATTCATATATTTTGTTAATTTGTTTTATTCTTTTTTGATTAGGATTAGAAAGATAGATATGTTGATGTATTGAAGAAACTCCTGATTATTGTATATAAATTTTGAGGAATGAGCATAGTTTTATATTTTGATATATATGATTGTTGTGTCATGGAGTATTCGCGGCGGTAGAGAAATATATAGTTTAACATCTTAGAGTTGTACGAAGATCCAGCATGTGCACAGATAAAAATGAGAGTGTGCAGCGTTCATAAGAGACACCAGAGTTTTTACGTGGAAACCCCTCAAAAGGGGGAAAAACCATAAGGCCTCGCTCAGTTTGAATGAATCCACTAATATTTGCAGTTGATTACAAATGAGGCCCTTCCTCAGAAGAAGGCCTTGGCTTGATGGTACAAATGTACATCATATATAGCGTATTACATTGTGGGAGTTATAATAATAGACATAAACATGTTTGTTTGGTTGGAAGGGCCATAGTCTGAATGAGACCAAGGTCTGAAAGATTGTGGTAGAAGGACGGTATTCCGGGAGAACTCTAGGCATCAGGTGGTGACTCAATAGAAGTCCGGGCCTTAGGTTATGGTCCAGCAGAAGTCTGGGCCTCAGATGGTTGTCCGATAGAAGTCTGTGCGTCAAGTGGTGATCCGGCAAAAATCTGAGCCTTGGGTGGTGGTCCGGAGGAGCTCAGGGCCTCAGGTGGTGGTCCGACAGAGGTGAGAGCCTCAAGTGGTGGTCCGACGGAGCTCAGGGCCTCAGGTGGTGGTCCGGCGGAGCAACGACGTCAGGCGGTGATTCGACAGAGATGAGGTCCTCAAGTGATGGTCCAATGGAGCTCAGAGCCTCAGGTGGTGGTCCGGCGGAGCAACGACATATGATCAAGTGGTGGTCCGACGAAGGTGAGGGCCTCAAGTGGTGGTTCGGGCGGAATTTCGGTGGTGGTCGAGGAGGAGCTTCTTCCTTCTCTTCCTTCTTCATCTCTTCTTGCTTTGGCCTCCTTTCAAGAGAAATGGGGGTTTATTTATAAATTTTTGGAGTGGCATGGCCCGTAAATAGGTGAGAGATCAAGGGTAAATGGGGAGTGGTTGGATGGACTGTCGATGTTGAATCCCTTGATCATGGACTATTTTGATGGACGTTTGAACATCTTATTGATGTCAAAATTCAGTGATCTTGGGCTTGTTGTGTTCGTCTTGTTGAGCCGCTCGATTTGACTATGAGCACAATACGTTTGGAAATCGTTTGGTACGCAAATTGTGGTTCAAACCTTCCAACAGTGCTTCTAACCCTTGATTTGGACCTGTTTCAGCTTGGATTGGGTTGGATTTGGTGTCGTTGGGTTTGTATTCTTGAGACACTCAGTTTGATTATAAGTTTGCTGAAATCGAAGTTTGGATGCTTCCGATTGTAATTTTGGAAACTTCCAACTTGATTTTGCATCGAGATTCGTGCCTGATCAAGTTAATTTTTTGATGGCATATCAATGATTATTAGTCATGTTCACTGGGCTAACCTATATTGATAGATTATTAGTAGCTCTAATAGTTCAGTTAGAGGTTAAAATAGACAATCATTTTCAATTTGATTTTGGGGCGTGACATCTATGCAGCAAATGTATAAATACTAGTACCAACTTACCTCCACTAAGGTTTAAATGTGGTTAAAACATAATTCAAACAAAGTTTTAATAAGGTGGATCTTGTTCAAACTATGTTTGAACCTTGTTAAAGCTCTATTTAGTTGAACTAGTTTTAATGAGTTTCAAACAAAGTATATATGGTTATGGTTCAAATGAGATTAAACATAGCTGAAATGAGGTTTGAGCAAAGTATGGGTGGCGTGAAGAATGTTTGAACAAGGTTCAAATGATCTATTACAAGTTCAAACCTACTCTTAGATCTAATAGTGGAACCACTAGGTTTGAAATAAATATTTCAATTAGTTT